CTTCGGCCTAAAGAACTCGGGGGCCACTTACACCCGGATGGTGGCCCGAGTCTTTCAAGCCGTCCTAGGGCGCACCATGGAGGCCTATGTTGACGACATGATCGTCAAGAGCAAGCAAGCTTCCAGCCATGCTGACGACCTCCGGGAAATCTTTGCCATCATGCAAAATTTCAACCTTCGGCTAAACCCGAAGAAATGCACCTTCGGCGTCCAAGGGGGCAAATTCTTAGGCTACATGGTGAGCCGAAGGGGCATTGAGGCCAATCCCGAGAAGATCCAGGCCATCATCAACATGGAGCCCCCACGCAATGTGAAGGAAGTTCAACGGTTGACGGGCCGCCTGGCAGCCCTCAACCGCTTTCTATCTAAATCAGCGGAGAAGTCTCTACCCTTCTTCCAGATCATGAGGAAGACGGCTGGCTTTCTATGGACTCCAGAATGCCAGGGGGCTTTCGACGAGCTCAAACGGTATTTATCTTCACCCCCTGTGCTCTGAAAACCAAAGGTAGGGGAGACCCTCTATCTCTACCTTGGGGTCAGCCCGGCGGCCATCAGCTCCGTGCTCATCCGGGAGGAAGACGGCATCCAACATGCTATCTTTTATGTAAGCAAGACCCTAAGGGAGGCCGAGATCAGGTACTCTCCTGTGGAGAAAACGATGTTAGCCATCGTTTGCACCGTCAAGAAGTTGGGCCACTACTTTCAGGCTCACCCGGTTCAGGTCCTCACTCATCAACCCCTCGGCGCCCTCATGAGGAGCCCCACCAGCTCCTCCCGCATGGTGAAATGGGCTATTTTCTTGAGCCAGTACAACATTGACATCCGTCCGAGGCCTGCCATCAAGGGCCAAGCCCTGGCAGACTTTGTGACGGAGTGTACCGCAAGGGCAGCCACGGACGGGGAGCCCTCGGCTACCTCGGACGACTGGTGGACCCTCTACACCGACGGCTCCTCCGCGACCAAAGCATGCGGGGGAGGGGTAGTCCTCATTACTCCCGAGGGCTTCAGAGCCTACTATGCAATCCGCTTCTCCTTCAAAGTCTCCAACAACGAGGCCGAATATGAGGCCCTCCTATGTGGCCTTCGGCTGGCTGCCAACATGAAGGCTCGGCAGATCCACATCAAATGCGACTCCAAGTTGGTCGTTGGCCAGATCTCCGAGGAATATGAGGCCAAGGAGGGAAGAATGAGACAGTACAAGGAAGCGGCCAAGGAGTTGCTTAAGGTATTTGAGGCACACTCTCTCACTCAAATACCGAGGGCTCAGAACTCCGAGGCCGACATACTATCTAAGCTCTCGGCCGACTCCCCCGAGCACATCTCCAAGATTGCTAAAATTGAGGAACTCAGTCTCTCAAGTATCCATGCAAGCCCCGTCATGAACATACAACAACGCCAAGAGGACTGGATCTCAGATATCACCACCTTCATCTTCGCAGGGCAGCTACCCGAGAACGAGACCCGCGCTAAACTAGCAAAGCTGAGGGCTCCTAGCTACACCATCGAAGACGGAAGGCTCTACAAACGGTCTTACAACGGCACGCTACTTCGGTGCCTTCATCAGGATGAAGCCGAGGTCGCAATGGAGGAGGTGCACAGTGACACTTGCTCAGCTCACCAGGGACCCTTCTCCATGTCCCCAAGGCTCATTCTCCAGGGCTACTTCTGGCCAACTATGGTCAGAGATTGTGCTGACCTTGCCCGAAGGTGCACCGCATGTCAACATTTCCAGAAAGCCCCCGGCAGGCCAGCGGTCAACTATGCCCCCATCAGCACATCTGTCCCCTTTTCTCGATGGGGGATAGACCTTGTGGGCCCTCTGCCGAGGGGTACCTCCAACAACAGATACATCATTGTGGCCATCGACTACTTTACTAAGTGGGTGGAGGCTGAGCCCCTCGCGAGCATCACAGAGGCGAAGTGTCGTCACTTCGTCCTCAAGAACATCCTCACAAGGTTTGGCGTCCCACAGCAGATCATCTCCGACAATGGAACACAATTTGAGGCAGCCCCCTTCTGTGCCCTTCTGGAGGCATGGTGCATCAAACACACCTTCTCCTCCGTTGCCTACCCTCAAGGCAACGGGCAAGTAGAGAATGCCAACCGGACCTTGCTCGAGGGCCTCAAAAAGAAGCTGGAGGCCGAGGGCGGTGGCTGGGTGGAAGAACTCCACAACATCCTTTGGGCCTACCGCACCACCCCTCGGCGAGCAACAGGTGAAACACCCTTCTCCCTCTGCTACGGTTTTGAAGCCAAAGCTCCTACGGAAGTCACCCTTCCCACCCGGAGGGTGATCCAATATGACCTCGAGGTCAATGACAGCAACATGGCCCTCGACCTCCACCTCCTTTCAGAACGCTGGGAGCAGGCCTTCATCCGGGCAGAAAACTACCGAAGGCAAGTCAAAAGCTACATCGACGCCAAGGTTCGCACCAGAGAATTCCAAGTGGGGGACTATGTCCTCCGGAGGAGGGAAGCCAGCCAACCAACCGAGGGAGGCAAAATGGCACCAAAATTCGAAGGTCCCTACATCATAGCAGCCATCATCAAACCTGGAACTTACAAGCTCAAACGTCCCAACGGGAAAGAAGTCCCTAGGCACTGGAATGTACACCACTTAGTTAAATTTTATCAATAATGTAAGAGCGGCCAAGCCCTCATAACTAATGAATGTACTATCCTATGGCCCAAGGCCTCCGATTTTGAAGACAACCTTCAAGACACCAAGAACAACCGCAAAAAACTTGTGAGCGACCAAGCCCTCATACCGACTACAGGCCCCAGGCCTCACCATGAGAAGATCCCCCTCCGGCACCAAGTGCCGAGGGTGGACATCACCAACACCTCCAACAACTGTGAAAACACCAAGTGTTTCAAACAAGACCCCTCAGTACCAAGTACCGAAGGTGGGAACTCCCATCGCCAGTAACAGGAAACACCAAGTGTTTCATTTCAAGACCCTTCGGCACCCAGTGCCGGGGGTAAACATCTCCACCTACAACATCAAAAGAAGAACACCAAGTGTCCTACAGGAGACCCCTCGATACCAAGCACCGGGGGTACACATCTCACCCATCGACGTCAAAAGAACACTAAGTGTTCCTACAGAAGACCCCTCGGTACCAAGTACCGAGGGCTACATATCGAAACTAACACCAAGTGTTGTTTCTAAAAGCCGTACCCCACGAGGACGCATATACCGAAGGCGCCACCATCGGTGCCGGCGGCACGTAGTGCCCCGACCATTTGCAACTAGTGTGCAAATGAAAACCCTTCCTTGAAACGCTTTCCGCGTCACTACCCCCAGGGTATGACAGGCATGAGAAATGCCCAGGATTCGACTTTAAAAAACGGAACGCTTTCCGCGTCATCACCCCAAGGGTATGACAGGCACGAGAAATGCCCAGGATTCGACTTCCAAACCGAAACGCTCCCCGCGCCACCACTCCAAGGGTGTGGCAGGCCACGGACTATGTCTAGTGCCGATGGGATGACTTTCAAAAATGAGGCGCTTTCCGCGCCATCCCCCAAGGGGAGGCAGGTTACAGACCATCATATCTTGTACCCAGGAAACGACCCTCGATCCCCTCGGAACTCGGAAGGTTAACCCGAGGGAGGAGAGCCATTGGTGTATTCTGATGGTCTCCTGATAGGCCCAGCCTTACCAAGAAACCAAGTTTCTTGATGCCTTCCCTTCACCACCAACCAAAAAAAAAGAGGGGGTGAAGGGGAGTAGACTCAGCGAGAAATCAAAGAGTACACTCCAACAGATCACAACATGCCGAGGGCTCCCCACGAGAACACCTCCGGTAATTGAAGGCTCCTATTTCCCGAAGGATATTACTCAAACAAATATCATCAAGAAACGGCTAAGTCCACTGCTTGGTCACCTCCGGTCACACAAGCCCCGAAGGCTTCAACAATACAAAGGGACTAGACTATCCAAAGTCCACTAAACGGTACTTCAAACAAATACCGAGGGCATCTGTTATGCACTAATACCGAGGGACCCTACCCCAAGACAAGGGACACAACTGGCTAAGTCAAACTCTACAACTTTTCAAGTGTATGCCGAGGGCACATACTCCTCATCGGCTTTCTTTACAACAACAGGATTCCACACTTTTCCTAAGTCCACACTTTTGGAAAATGACAACAACCGGAGGCTAATATATCACCCGACAACCGAAGGCTTCTGTTACAAATCATCAAAGGCCAACCGAGGGGGCTTATTCCAAAAATATTTGCCCCTCGGTCAGACTCCTCACTGACCGAAGGTTCAACATCTACGATACACTTTGAAATTTTTCTAAGTCCCACATATTTGGCCCTCGGCCAAATACTCATACAACACAAGGGCATCACGATCACCCGAAGGGTCCTATTCATATACCCGGAGGGATCTACATCCGGAAGCTCAACATCAATTTACGCTTAGAAAATATTCTAAGTCCTGAATGAGTAGCCCCCAGGCATCTCGCAAAAGTGACGCAGAGTCAGAGGGCACCTATCACCCGAAGGCGACACAAGGAAGCAGCACTTAAAAAAAAAATTTTTGGGCCCCCGGCCCAACCAATATTACAGCTAAGGGAATATGATAGCCGAAGGCTATGCGATACAACAGCACTTAGAAAATTTTCTAAGTCCTACATATTTTTCCCTCGGTCAACTGCTCATCTCAACTTATGAAGGGACCTAATAGCCGAAGGCTACCTATCAATCGAAGGCTACAGTACACAAGGAATCAACGCTGAGGAAAGTTTTCTAAGTCCTAAGAATTGGGTTCTCAACCTAATCACCACACAGCAATTGAACTACAGACATCCGAAGGCCCTATGGTGTGCTACACTTAGAATAATTTTCTAAGTCCTAACTATTGCTGAGCCCTCGGTTGTATATCCGGCAAAGGGTGCCCAACTACCGAAGGCTACAACTGTATTCAAACACTTAGGACATATCCTAAGTCCTAAACATACATTCAAAAAGGCGAAGGCATACATTCAAGAGGAGACGACGGCATACATTCGAGAGGAAATATATTAAAGAGAACAAGTCAAATACGCAAGGCCCGAGGGCTAACTTTCATCCATCACAAAAAAAATAAATGTAATTGTTACAGCAATGGCCAAGGCCGGAATCATACAAATGTCACCATTACAAGTAAGCCCAAACGTTTACTAAGTACATATTACAAATCAACAACATCATTCCCGGGGGCCGCCTCCTCCGATGGCTTCGAAGTAACCTCCTCCCCGGTGGCGTCCTCGGCATCATCATCGCCGCCCATCATCATAGAATCATGAATCACCGGGCGCTCTTCTCCCTCGGGGAGGGGGACTCTCACATCTGGCTGCAATGGGGGGAGGCCATACACAGAGGGGTTAAACTCATCCAGGGAGGTGCCAAAATGCCGGGCGAGCCTCCGGTAAACCAGGTGCTGGGTGAAGAACTCGCCGGCTTGATAATAGGTGTCACCCCTCTCGTTCATCCAGTCGAGCCCGGGGCCCTTCACCCGCTCCTCGATCGAGGCCTTCACCACAGAGGCCACCCACTCCCTCTGGACCTCGGCCTTCCAACCCTCGGAGATGAACCCAGCGATGGCCTCTTCTCGGGCTTTGACAACAGCTTCGGCCTTGGCCTTTTCGGCGTCCTCAGCCGCTTGCTTTCTCTCCTCGGCCGCAACCCTCTCGGCCTCTGCCTTGCCCTCGGCCTTGCCGTCATCTCTGGCCTCCTTCAGCCTCAGCTCCGCTTGCCGAAGGGCGTCCTCCAGCTTGCACACCTCCCGGAGGGTAGCGTCCTTGTCGTGGATCAGCTCCTTCACGGACTTCTCTAGCTCGGCCTTATGACGGCGCCACTCCTCGCGCCTTCGGGCCTGCTCACCGAAGGTTATACATGCCTGTTGAATAACGGACAAAGGGTTCAGACGGGCATTGGGAATATACTAAGTGTTAATATAAAGTCAAAGTAAAAACACTTACAGCCAGAGATGATCGAAGGGCCTTGCTTTCGAGGGCGTCGTCGTCATAGGTGGAGAGGGCTTCCTTATCCATCATCGAGGTAATCCCCCTCAGGAAAGACATCGGTTCAGCTGAACCGTGCAACACAGATGCCCCCGGAGCGAGGGAGAGCTGAATTATCTCCCGAGGCAGGTTCCCCGGGGGAAGGTCTGTTTGAGCCATCGGAGTGTCAATGGCCGGGGGGTCAGCGGAGGGCTGATCATCAATTACTATGAGGGGGCCCGCCAATTCAACGGCGCCCCCGGCAACCTTCTATTTCTTGATCGGGGGCTCCACCCCCTTGCCTCCCTTTTTCTTCTTGGCGGCCACCTCGGCCTTCGGCCCCCCGGCCACAGTAGCAGGAGCAGCATCAACAGAAGGCTCCGCAACCTCCTTCGGGAAAATCTCATCAATGGGCTTTTGGCCCGAGGGCTCCTTCTTCTCCTTCTTCTGGGCCTGAGCCCTCTCCTTCTTCTTTTTCATTGCAAAAAGAGCCTACATACCTGCAAAACAATGAAAAGAAAAGATTAACTCGAAGGATCCATACAACAGACAACTATCGGGATGCAAAGTAAGAATGCCTAAATACGAGACTAAGGGCCCTCGTAGACTACCTCCTGCTCCCCCGAAGGCCTCAGCGAAGACGAGATACTTCTCGTCTGTTTCCCCGATGAACCGGTACCGTTGGAACCCGAGGGCATGCAAGTCATCCTCAAAAGTACATTCTTTGATCGTCACGACCTTCTTCTTGCCCTCCGGGATCTTGGCGAGTTTCAGGCCATCCTTCTCTAGGGCGATACTCCCCACCTTCTCGTGGCGCCGAAAGCGGTCCCGTAGCTCCCTCGGGAAGGGGTTCTCGGCCAACCGGACATAGCACCATCTGTCTTTCCAGCCCTTGTTGGACGAGGGCGCCTCGGTGAACAACTTGAACTTCGCTACCTGCTGCAAATTGGCGAAGCCCTCAGCACTCGCGTGCCCCCCTCGGCACAAGTTGAAGCTTTGGAAGAAGAGATCTAAGCTTGGGGTAACATCCCTCGTCCGGCACAGGTGCAGGAAGCCAGCAATATATGAATGGCTGTTGGGGGTAAGTTGGCAAGGGATGAGTCCAACGAACCTGAGGTACTCCCGGAGAAATGGGTGCAGGGGGAACCGGAGGCCCATTGACACCGACAGGATGTGGACGGCAATACATCCCTTGGGTGGCCGGGACAGCAAATCATCGACGCCTGGCTCCACCACTTCGGCCGAGGGCCCAACGTGCAGCTGCGTGACGTACAAATCCGCCTTGTCCGCCTTCGACTTGATATCGAGGGCCTCGGTATTTAGCCAGGTATACCCCTCTGGCATTTCAACCGGCCCCCCAGCACCAGCGGCAACACCCTTCTTCTTGGGGACAGCCCTCTTCGACTTCATCTTCCTTTTATTGCCGGAGGCCATCCTCAGAGGCGTCGGGTCCAACGGCCTGGAGGTACTAGGCTCACCACAGTCATTCCGAGGGGGTGGCACAACAACAGTAACCGTCATCGCCTCCTTTTGAGCTTCATCCTCCGCCACCTGATACGCGAAGGCTAATTCTTCATCTTCGCACTCCTGTTCGAAGCCCTCGGCTTCCACTTCAGCAGCAAGGGCCTTCTGCAACTCCAAGGCTACGGCTTCGTCATCGGCAACCGAGGGCGCACTGCTAGTTGACTCGACATCAGAAGCAACCTCGTCCTCAACCGAGGGCTCCCTCGAGATATTCTGCGAGTCGCTTTGGGACGACATCCTTGGTGTACTTAAGCTAAGACTCCTAAATCGAGGGTTCTCTACAAAGCTATAACACCTAACCTAAGGCCGGGGAGCAAAAGCGTACGAAAAACGGTGAGGAACGAAGGAAGAACTGACCTCTGAAAGTTGCTGTGATCGAGGGTGATTTTCTCTCTCTAGAAAAATTCCGACAGAGCTTCGCTAAGACAGGTGATCGCGCAAGAAGAAATGACTCTGGCTCCGGGGTATTTATAGGCGCTGGAATCCGGGCTTGGGCCCGGAAACCGGGCCTCCGGACGGACCGTCATCATTACGCGCCGTGTTTTCACCCAACCGGTGACGCCGCCCACGGGCAGCCAACCGTCACGCGCCACGTGTCCTCCTCCCCCAACGGCTATATCCCGCCGATACATATTCCAACGGCTATATTTCCAACGGCTATATTCTGGAAGCCCCCGGGTTTTCTATTTCACTCCACTTCATCAAGGAGAACCTCCGGGTAAACTTACCCAGAGATGCCCCCGGGTTGGGCCCCACACAGCACATAACAGACACCTTCGGGATCACTCCTTCAGAAGCCCAAGGCTTCATGACAGGGCACCCCTCGGGGATTCCCGCTCAGCACTGTAAGGACCGGGTAGCCCTCAGGGAGTATGCCCCATTGACGGAATAGCCTACAGCACACAGGTAATGGGAGCCCTCGGATATCCTCATCACCAACTAACCAGCAAGCAGGGGACCCCCCGGTAACAACTCGACTGCTACCCACATTCATTACGCCCTCGATCCCCAGATTGAGGGACTCCCCTTCGGCGCCCCCAGGACATCAACAACAAAGCCTCCGGCTAATCAACACATGAGCCCTCAGAACAAGGGGAGCCTTCAGCATTACCATTTCTCTCCATTTTTAAAACCAAGATTTCACATTTTCGATTCATCGTTGGGGGAATTCGGTGCACTCTTTTTCCCTCATTAGGATTTTATCCCACAGGGTTTTTCCTAATGAGGTTTTTAACGAGGCATCCCCCCAAAATGAAACGAAAAGCGCCAGCCTTCGGCCCACAACACGAACGCAACCACTCTACTCCTTTTCACCACTTGACAAGTGGCTCAAGGAGTGGGGGACTGGAGGACCCCCTCGGGAAAATCATTAAAATTACAAAAATGGTGAAAATTCCCAACAAACGGCAAAACAAGCCCTCAAGTCCCGACATGTGGGTAACTGAGGGACTGCCTTCGGCAGGGACATGAAAGCAACAACTCTTCACCAACTTCAGAGATTACGACAGGACAACATCAAAGGGCAAGCACAAATTACTCCTTTTCCCTCAAGTACCTTTCGGCAAAAGGAGTGAGGGACTCCTGATGGAGTATATGGCCCGGGAACCCCCGGCCCACAGACTCCTACTACTCCAGTAAAGGCCCAACAGGCCCAGAAGGCCCAACATGCCCAAATCATGGCGCCCGGAGTACCAAGCAGCCCACAGCGCACCAGGGGTGCCTTCGACCCCCTGGCCGAAGGCTCTAAACTCTCACAGAACGGGTTTCTCAAGCAAACTAAGAAACTGGGAGAAAAACGGCGAGAACAGTAGCCCTCGGCACCAGGAGCCCTCGGCACCAGGGGTGCCCTCGGTTTGAGGAGCCCTCGACTACTGCTCTATAGCCGAAGGAACCTCACTCGACAAGATCTCCTCTCCACGAGCGTACAGATCACCGTACCCTGTGCAACGTCCCATCCAACAGCCGCATTAAATGCGGCCACATGCGGTTGCCAGCGCCAACCGGATGATGTGACCTCTCGGCCAATGGATGCTTGACACGTGTCCCTATCTGGCATTTATTGCTACTATAAATAGCACCCCATTTCCCCATTTGTAACCACGACATTCATACTGAATACACACTCTCTCTTACTTACTTATGCTCTGACTTCTCTCTAAGTTATTCTCAGCAATAACCCCTCGGATATATACCCCCCGGGTACACTATCCATCACGAACCATCGACACAATTTCACGGTGTTCGTCAGCGAGACTACGCCCTTGTACTGGGAGTAATAGGGGATCCCACATCGGCCTAGCCTCTATATCTCCAGCCGGTGAGCCCTCAGCTTCCACGCCCGTAGCCAATTCCTGCACCCCGACGTCGATCTGAGGCACATGCAACTGGAACACATCATCTGCGATGAGGGCCTTGTCCGCCTAGAGATGTACCCCCCGTCCTGCCCATTTCGCGCCGACCAAAGTCGAAGTCAAAGGCCCCTTCGCTTTTCGCGACCCAGTTCCTCCCCAGCGGATTGAATTACAAAGCAGAGGTTATCTAAAGCTCAAATTACCTGCTGGGCTAGCAATATTGGGCTAGTCAATTTTCCTGGGCTTGGAATCTCTATCATCCAGACCGCAACTATGCATTAAATGGAGCTAAGTGCCACAAATGTTTCTCCTACTTATGCATTAAATATGGAATTAATAGTAGAGCTGTCATTATTCTCACTGTTCGAGTCGGTTAAAATCCCCAAAGTGGTGCAACCTGAGCTCTAGTCCACTGAACATCTTTATTTGATGATTCAGATTGTATTTAGGTTCCTCGGCCTACCTCGGTCACCTTTATTTGGTGACTCGGGCACCTAGAGATGAGAGCCGCTATCGACCGCACACAACATTATGCCTAAAAGCGGTAAACGATACACCTCATTCCCCGAGACACTAATCGTGTCGCCCAAAAGCCGTTGCCATGAACAACGCACAAACTGTGTTCCGCTTTTTTTTTGTAAATTTAAGTAAAGGATGCCACACAACTAAAACAACCCTATCAGCTACCATTAAGGCGAAACACCCGGGTAGGCCGGAGGAATCAAAGACAAAAAAGGCTCGCAGAATGGCCCATCTAAAATTAGGAGGTTACTACGTCGTCCTCACAAAGTTCGAAGGACGACAGGACTGAAAGAACGGCCGAGGTGATCCCTATCCTTGGGTTTAACGAAAAGCAGTCGTCAGTAACCGACCAAAAGCCAAGCTCGCGTCATAAATGGGCGACGGGACCTCCCCAAGTTAAAAGGTTGATCCAGCGCCAGAGGGCTAACTATTGCCCTCCTGGACACTATACCAGTCAAAGGAATAGAAACCCCTTCGGCCGAGCCTGAAAGAAGGATCTCCACTCCTCGCTCAAAGAAGTAAAGAGGAAGTAAAAAAAATCCCCAGACACCATATCGGACACCATTGAGGCAAAAACGCCCAGGTAGGCTGAAGGTGTTTAAAGACGAAAAGGACCGCAAAATTGCCCATCTTAAATCAGGCAGATCACCACGTCGTCCTCACAAAATACGAAGGACGACAGGCTACTTGATACGATCTTGGATTTCTTGAATGCATGGAATACTAAAACGATCTCGTATGCCGGGAAGATTGAGCTTATAAGATCGGTGATCCAAGGGGTCCAGTCTTTTTGGCTTCAGGTCTTTCCGGTGCCGCGTGCTATTTTGGATAGAATAGTATCCATTTGTAGAATTTTCTTATGGGGGGGTAAATACGCTAAAGTAGCGTGGGACGACATCTGTCTCCCTAAGGAAGAGGGTGGGCTTGGGATCTTTAATGCAAATGTTTGGAACCAAACCCTACTTGCCCGAACACTTTGGGATGTCCATTTGAAAAAAGATACCCTGTGGGTGAAATGGGTTAATGGCATTTACCTCAATGGTAAAAGTGTGTGGGAATTTGTCCCACACAACCGTGACTCGAGTCTTATGAAAAAGCTGGCGGCAATAAGGGATAAAATTAAGAACTGTTTTAATAACCAAAATGATACCATAATGGGTTTAACCACTAGATCTATTAATTGCAAACTGATTTCTAGAAAAATTTACGATCTTTTGAGAGTAAAAGGGACGGTGAGAGTGAGAATGAGCTTCATTTGGAAATCTTATATCCCTCCTAAATTCTCTTTCATGACTTGACTTGCGTTCAGAAATCGGTTACCTACCCAAGATAACCTTGACTATATGTATATAGTCAATAGGTGTGATCTTTGTAAGGGTGACTTAGAGACAATGCCACACCTTTTTTTTCTTGCCCTTTCTCTTGCAGGGTATGGAAAAGAATTAGGAAGTGGATGAAGTTGGAGCACCAAATGACCACGCTACAAAGCTCAGTCAAATGGTTTCTCAAGAACTACAAAGGGTCAAACTTGAGGGCTAAGGCGGTGCGGCTTGCGTTTTGTGCCGCGTCATATTACATATGGCATGCGAGGAATGCGAGTAGATTTGATGGGAGCATAAAGACTGAAGATGAGGTCATTGCGAAGATAAAGCATGTGGTGTATAAGATCCTTTTCTCTATATACCCGCATGACATGATCCAATTTTGATGGGAGACCAGCTGACCGCATCAAAGCCGCGGCATCAGCCGCTTTGTGACTAGTGTGTGCACCTTGCAACACTACGATTTCTTCTTTTGGGCTGAGGAGAGTGTACATTAGAACCTCCTATTAGCTGTGCTTTTCCTATTCAGATGGATGTTTTTGATGTTCTGTGTGCGTGCATCCTGCAGTACTGATTGTATTTTTGTATCTAGGGGCATTTAGTACTGTGTACTTAGGCCCCGATTGTTTTTTATTTTGATTATATCGAATAAAAACCTCTCCTAACCCCAACACTAGGTAGGGGTGGGGGAGGTTTTAGGAGATCTAGAACCTTTTTATTGTATATTTTTCTGGGTGTTAATATATATTTACATTTCATCAAAAAAACGAAGGACGACAGGCCTGAAAGAATGGCTGAGGAGATCCCCACACTTTGGATAGGGAACGACAGTCGTCGGTAACCGACCAAAAGCCAAGCCGCGTCATAAACAGGCGACGGGACCCACCCAAGTTCGAAGGTCGATCCAGCGCCAAAGGGCTAACAGTTGCCCTTCCTGGACACCATACCGGCCAAGGGAATAGCAACCCCCTCGGACAAAGCCTGAAAGAAGGATCCCCACTCCTCGCTCAAAGAAGTAAAGAGGTCGTTCAAAAAAAGGAGGGAAGCTGAAGAACCGCACACTCGCCGGCCTCGAGCGAATTCCCCACAATTCAAGCCACAAATTTAGCTAAGTACATATCACGCAAATACTATGCATTATGGACGAAGAAAGACCATACATGCGGATCAGACGAGTGCCCAGCGTCGTCCCTCATCATCAGAGGAGCGCCCAGCGCCGTCCCTCATCCTCAGACGAGCGCCCAGCGCTGTCCCTCATCTTCAGACGAGCGCCCAGTGCCATCCCTCGTCTTCACACGAGCACCCAGCGCCGTCCCTCATCTTCAGACAATCATCCAGCGTCGTCCCTCATCTTCAGACGAGCGCCCAACGTTGTCCCTCATCTTCAGACGAGCGCCCATCTTCATCCCTCATATTCAAACGAGCGCCCAACACCGTCCGTCATCTTCAGACGAGCGTCCAAGCCTAGTCCATCATAACACCGGCTTCGTCGTCCTTCATGTTCAATCCGGCGTCAACGCATTGCCCTTCATCACATCACGACCGGCCCCTCAGCCTCGGCCTGATTATCTATCTCAAGACCGGCTTCCTCAACGCCGAGAGTCTTGAGCTAGCGATCAGGCTCGCCATCCCTTCCTGGATGGTGACCATCGCCACTATATGACGGCTGGCTCATCATCGCCCCGTCATCATATTATCGTATCGGCTTCTCATTATTGCCGTCCGCACATCATGACCGGCCCATCGGCCTCAGTGTGATGATTTATCTCAAGACCGGATCCCAGCACCGAAGTCTTGTTATAGCGATTGGGATCGCTAATCCCTCCCCGGATAGCGACTGTCGCCTCTATATGACGATCAGCTCATCATCTTCTCGTCATTATATTATCGGACCGGCTCCTCATTATCGCCGTCCGTACATCACGACCGGCCCATCGGCCTCAGCGTGATTATTTATCACAAGACCGGCTCCCAGTGCCGAAGTCTTGTTATAGCAACCGGGCTCGCTACTCCCTTCCTGGATAGCGACCGTCGCCCTTTTATGACGCTCGACTCATCATCGCCTCGTCATCATATTCCGGACTGGCTCCTCATTATTGCCGTCCGCACATCACGACCGGCCCATCAGCCTCGGCGTGATGATTTATCTCAAGACCGGCTCCTAGCACTGAAGTCTTATTATAGCGATTGGGCTCGCTAATCCCTTCCCGGATAGCGACCGTCGCTTCTATATGACGATTGGCTCATCATTGCCTCATCATCATATTATCAGACCGGCTCCTCATTATCACCGTCCGTACATCACGACCGGCCCATCGGCCTCGGTGTGATTATTTATTTCAAGATCGGTTTCCCAGCGCCGAGTGTCTTGATCTAGTGACTGGGCTCGCTACTCCCTTCCCGGATAGCGACCATCGCCTCTATATGACGATCAACTCATCATCGCCTCGTCATCATATTTTCGGTCCGGCTCCTCATTATCGCTGTCCGCACATCACGACCGGCCCATCGGCCTCAGCGTGATTATTTATTTTAAGACCGGCTTCCCAGCGTCGAATGTCTTGATCTAGCGCCTGGGCTCACTACTCCCTTCCCGGATAGCGACCGTCGCCTCTATATGACGATCGGCTCATCATCGCCTCGTCATCATATTATCGGACCGGCTCCTCATTATCGCTGTCCGTACATCACGACAGGCCCATCGGCCTCAGCGTGATTATTTATTTCAAGACCGGCTTCCCAGCGCCGAGTGTCTTGATCTGGCGACCGGGCTCGCTACTCCTTTCCTGGATAGCGACCGTCGCCTTTGTATATATGATGATCGGCTTCATCATCACCCCATCATCATATTATTAGACTGGCTCATCAGCGTCGCCGTCCTCATATTCAGACAGGCGTTGTGACACCGCACCCGGATGTACTTGAATTTAAAATTCAGTATGTATTTGAATTTTCCTAGCGAATGATTTCGTGTAAAAGAATGATATATTTAATTAATGAATGATTAGTTAAATTATTTATCGGGTCCATTATATTGAGAATGGGCTTTTAAATAATTATTTGAGTCATCATAATAATTATAGAAGCCCAATAAAATACCAACCGAGGTTGAGAAAAATATTTGGACAACCCAAGTGCTATTTTGACCCAACCTGCCAGAAATAGCAGGAATAATTGGGATGTACTTCCTACACCCACTTGGGGATTTTCATACATAACTTGGGGTCTCAAAATAATGATTTAGGGACAAGGGAACATGGCTTGAACGTGCATAGTGGGTAAGAGGTCTCATTGAGACAAAACCCCATCCCTACACCCTTCCTACACAATTATTGTGTTGATTGAAAGGGAATCCCCCCATCCCCTTGAGTCATTCGAACTACTCAAACCAAGAGGGAGGAGGAGAAGCTCTGGAAATAGCTCTCACAAACAAAGAGCTTAGAGGAAGCAAAAGAAAGGGAATCCAAGAGGAATAGCTAGGAGAGGAGGTAAGAACACAACTATTGTTCTTTAGCTAGTTTTTCTTGTATAATTTTTAAGAATTCATATGGTGGATTAAACATGAAGTTCTACACGGTTAAAAGTGTAGAATATTGATATAAAGTGGTGGTATTTAACTTAGAAGGGTTGGTGAATCGATAGGAGTCGAAATCGCCGGAAACCGCCAAGAAAAACAAACTGCTCGTATCTACAGGCCACGAACACCGGGGCGGCTTTTGTGAAATCCTGGCGGCTTTTAGCTGCTGTCCAGGATTCTTTTTTAAATCAGCCAAAAACGGGGATTGATTGAAGGGCTTCGCAAAGGCTACTAGTTAAGCACTTCATAAGGTGAGGATGACTCACTATATTGCTTATAATTGTTGGGTTAATTTCATTTTTTTTGGATTAAATGTAAGTATATATATAAAACACCCAAAAATAATATTTTACTATGTATCAAGTTCGGATCAATATAACTATCTAAGTTAGACTAATCTAACCTAAATAAAAATCACCACAAGGTAAATAAACCACATCATAAAAAAAAGTCTCCTTTAGCCCAGCCGCAAGACAGAAACCACAAAAGCAAAGCCGCATCACCGAATAGCGAACTGTTTAAACTCCAAAGAAATTACGGAAAGGAATAGTGAACTTTGAGTCAAAGCAAACCTCCCCTTTCTTCTTAGTAACTCCCGGTATATTCTCAAGACATCTGGCGGTGAATGTCAGCCCCTTTTATCCAAATCAACCGTAAGTCGAAGAGAAGTATCCACTCTAATCACACTTGCATGTACGAATCTAAAGGGTTTGACACCCAATTTGAGCGTCTTACCTTTTATGACCTCACAATTGACGACAACATCATATTGATGCAAGTTGTTCTCATCCATCCCTACCCTCTCAATGTCTTCCAACATGACCTCGGGAGACCCCTGAACAGTTGGCGCGCCCTTGGCAGTTTCATGGACAGTTTTCTCACCCATGACAGCAGCATTTGCACCGATTTCAACATCGGAACACCCCTGCACAGTTGGCACCCCTTGGCAGTTTCGTGGACAGCTT